TCTCTATATCACTCCCCGCTTTGCATGTACAGATGTCAACATTCACAAGCTGAATACACAATATGTAAATATGATAATTCACATACATAACATGGTGCATAATAAATGGAAATATTACATAGCATTAATACATGTTCTGTAATACTTTACTATACATAGTTAATAGAGTAATATAAGAATACACAGCTTAAGGAACTATTTCGTGTCCATATTATACAGTATTGTACAACTCGAACAAGTCCTGTCGCCTCCTATGCTCAGCCATGAACCTCGAGACTCAAACAAACTCGGAAATGAGAAGCAGTCGTGGACGGATAATGCATCAGTGTCTGCTGATACCTCGGCGTTCATGGATAAGCTGGAGAGGCGACGACAGTAATTGTTAGCAACTGTATTGTACGGTACCAATTAATAGTAGTTCTGCTCTGTAACATAAACACGCATTGATCTAATGTTTATTTTTTCTATTAAGTGAGGGAAATTTTGTGTAAACTGCAAAACAAATATCACTGTTAATATCTCATCGTTCGTACTGAAGAACTGGGATAATGAGAGTGCAGTTCCTAAAGTGGATATTTTTATTCAACAATCTGTGTCAGATTTTGGAATATTATTTCTAGAATTCTATATTTGTATGTAAATATGCTGTACATCGCCTGTTAATTATGGGTAGGGAAAAATCGGGTCCTTTTAGGTAGAGTGCAATGGGCTCGTCTGTATTGTGACATGCTGGCCACTAAAGGCGCCACCAAAAATTAATCCCGAGTGAACCATCCTCCTATAACTCGACTCATCATCCTCACTTAACGAACAAACATCATAAAATTGTTAAGGAAACATGCTCCACCTTATGCCACGAAAAAAAAAATATTTGATGAGATTTTAAGGAATATGTTTGTCAAAGTTATACAATGTATTTTCGGGGATATTGAAAGAAACGGTGGGTGTAAATGTTGTGTCCTCCCATGTTCGATCCCCAAGTCTGATTATATGAAGGGTGTCATCCAGTGTGATCCCACCAGTACAGTACTCAGTGGTTTTGGTGACCTTTCATCATTTCACTGGAGCAATTGACGCCATTTTCTACGTAAATTCAGTCGTTTTTTTCCACTTCCACCGGATGAAAAAATCTATAACGATTTAGTGAAACTCCTAAAGAAATTAAACCAATATAACGAGATACTTAGGTCACCAAGTTTATAATTTAGTTTGGTTGGTTGGTTCTTCTTAAGTAGGTCAGATAATACCTACAACTTTGATTGATGTTGACAATGTAGGTCTTAACTCAGTGTTACAGGAACCAAACTTACTTTAAAATAGATGAACATAAACATATAGCAGAGATAATGTGTTAAGACGTGAAGCAGTGTTAAATATTGTTGAGGATGATTAAGGGTTTCTTATCAGGCAATGAGTTACGTACACCTGTGCAGCCTCCAGGAACCAATCACATTTATTCATGGTGCAAGAATGATTTTCTATTGGTGGTTGAAGACTTCCAAATCACGCTGCACCTCCCAGATGTACTGAGAAGAATAATGACTGAGCAACAATCACGTGGGTTGTCACTCCTCTGCTTGCCGACCGACTTACAACAAATGAGGGACAATTTTGTTCAAGTAATTTTCTATAGTTATTTTTTATTGTTTATTTCGTAATTACATAAAATTCAACATATATTTTTTTGAAAGACAATCATTATCTTATTATAAAATGGAAGAAAGTGTTATATTCTAGCCTTCATATAATGCATTGGACTTATTCTATTTACCGTGAGTGGCACTGAGCGCGGCCACAGAAGGCACAGCACGAATACTCGGTGGAAAATCGGACACACTTCGGTACAATAGCAGTGGACTGTCATTGGCTGATGGGGAATAATACTCTCACAAGGGTACAACATTATAATAACAAAGGACTCCGTGACGTGACAGTGCCATGACCGTAATCTTCCCACCCATCTCTAACCAGGAAAGAGCAAAGGTAAGTAAAAGTACGTAGGCACGGTCTTTGTCACTTGCATGGACACGGGCGGACTTGGTGTTAGTTAGTGGGCACGGCCTCTAGTACTCACGGTTAGGTGTTCACAAGCCAAGGTGAGATAAGCGGGTGGTACTACTGAGAAGTAATAATCTGATGAATTAATAATTAGCAGAGGTAATACTCGAGAGGTAATACTCATGGAAGGTAATACTCAGGGAACATACAACAATACTCATGATAAGTAACAATCAGGAGAGAGAGGAGGGGTGATTGAGTGGTACAGAGAGAGAGAGAGAGAGAGAGAGAGAGAGAGAGAGAGTAGTTGGTTTGGTTGTGCTGTGTGTGTGAGAGAGAGAGAGAGTAGGGGGAGAGAGGAGTCGTGCTGTGAGACTTACCACAAGTATTATAATGAGCCAAGCTATAATGCCTTATAGACTGGTATACACACAGGCAGGCTTCTTTTTGGGTGACTTCTGGTGACCTCTGGTGACACGTGGTGGCCTCTGGTGACTCCTGGTGATCTCTGGTGACTCCTTGTGACCTATGGTGAGTCGTGGTGGCCTCTGGGGACTCCTGGTGACCTCTGGTGACACGTGGTGGCCTCTGGTGACTCCTGGTGACTTCTGGTGACTCCTGGTGATCTCTGGTGACACGTGGTGGCCTCTGGGGACTCCTGGTGACACGTGGTGACCTCTGGTGACTCCTGGTGGCCTCTGCAGATCCCTGGTGGCCTCTGGTGACACGTGGTGGCCTCTGGTGACCCCAGGCCTCTGATGACCCTGGTGACTCGTGGTGACCTCTAGTGACACGTGGTGGCCTCTGATGACACGTGATGACCTCCGGTGACACGTGGTGACCTATGGTGACTCCTGGTCACCCTGGTGACACGTGGTGGCCTCTGGTGACCCTGGTGACCTCTGGTGACACGTGGTGGCATTTGGTGAGTCGTGGTGGCCTCTGTGACACGTGGTGGCCTCTAGTGACACGTGGTGGCCTCTGGTGAGTCGTGGTGGCCTCTGGTGTCTCCTGGTGGCCTCTGGTGACACGTGGTGACCCTGGTGACTCCCTGGTGATCTCTGGTGACACGTGGTGGCCTCCTGGTGACTCCTGTGACCTCTGGTGACACGTGGTGGCCTCTGGTGACTCCTGGTGACCCTGGTGACATGTGGTGGCCTCTAGTGACACGTGGTGGCCTCTGGTGACACATGGTGGCCTCTGGTGACATGTGGTGGCCTCTAGTGACACGTGGTGGCCTCCTGGTGACTCCTGGTGACATGTGGTGGCCTCTAGTGACATGGTGGCCTCTGGTGACTCGTGGTGGCCTCTGGTGACACGTGGTGACCTCCTGATGACACGTGGTGGCCTCTGGTGACCCTCTGGTGACACGTGGTGGCCTCTGGTGACCTCTGGTGACACGTGGTGGCCTCTGGTGACCTCTGGTGACACGTGGTGGCCCTGGTCTAGTGACACGTGGTGGCCTCTAGTGACACGTGGTGGCCTCTAGTGACACGTGGTGGCCTCTGGTGACACATGGTGGCCTCTGGTGACTTCTGGTGACCTGTGGTGACTTTTGGTGACTCGTGGTGGCCTCTGGTGACCGTGGTGACTCTCTGTGGTGGCCTTTGGTGATTGTGTGACCTGGTGACCTCTGGTGACCTCGTGGCGACCTCTAGTTACTACTGGTGACCCCTAGTGACACGTGGTGGCCTCTGGTGACACTTGGTGGCCTCTGGTGACTTCTGGTAACTCGTGGTGACCTCTGATGACTCGTGGTGGCCTCTGGTGACAGTTGGTGGCCTCTGGTGACTTCTGATAACTCGTGGTGACCTCTGGTGACTCTTGGTGTTCTCTGGTGACTCGTGGTGACCTCTGGTGACTCGTGATGACCTCTAGTGAATACTGGTGACCTCTAATGACACGTGGTGGCCTCTGGTGACACTTGGTGGCCTCTGGTGACTTCTGGTGACTCGTGGTGACTCGTGGTGACCTCTGGTGACTCGTGGTGACCTCTGGTGACTCGTGGTGACCTCTAGTGACTACTGATTCTATGGTATTCCACAGTACTCTATGCGACCATGGTGACTTTTAGTGCATCACAATGACTTGATGACTCATAATGACTGTTAATGACTCACAATGACTTAGTGATTCACAAAAATGGCTAATGACTCAAAGACTCGATATGCGTCCTTGTGACTTAATAATTGCTAGAAACTCACTATGACTCTTGGCGACTCACCATGGCTCTTAGTGACCTATAATGACTCCTTGTGACTCACTGTGACTCATGATGACTCACAATGAATCCTGGTGACTGACAAAGACTTCTAGTGACTCACTATAACTCCTGTTGATTCACAGAAATTTCAAGTGACTCACAATGATTCCTGGTGACTCACAATGACTCCTGGTGACTCACAATGACTCCTGGTGACTCACAGTGACTGCCAGTAACTCACAATGACCCCTAGTAACTCACATGAACTGTCGGTGACTCATTTCTAGTGACTCACTGTGACGTCTGATGACTCATAGTAACTCCTGGTGATTCACAGTGACTCCTGATGACTCATAGTGACTTCTGGTGACTCACAGTAACTCTGGTGACTCACAGTGATTCCCGGTGACTCACAGTGACTCCTGGTGACTTATAGTGACTCCTGGCGACTCACAGTGACTCCTGATAACGTAAAGAACAACAAACATAACCAAAGGTATATTTTATTACATAAACATTAAATCAACCGGAAAAATTTTACTAATAAAAACTTAAATAAAATCTAGATGGTCACTTCTGTAAGTTACCAATTAGTGAAATTCTAAGGAAAATTTAATTCCAAAACAAATAATAATTATTTTCTTTAATTAATGTTTTTAGAATATGTATTTGTCGTGCGGGAATATATAGATGAAAAAATTCCCTTATTGGCATCTTGTCTGTTGGAGTTGAGGTGTCTAGAGGCGGGAGCTGGGAAGGTCGGACCCGGGAGCGTTGTTACTTGGGTTGGTTTGGTCAGTGTAGTGCAGGTAGCGGTAGTGATTGTACGCTCTTTGCCTCTGCAGTACTCCTTCAGTCCTCGATTTCACGCCGTCACACGCACGAAAATTTATTCTCTTTCGCTGTTAAGTATCCGTTCTTACGACTTTTAATTTATTTAATTTATTTTCTCTCTTAATCTTTATCTCTTGTTATTTCGTTTCTATATCGCAATTTTCTTTGGTATACTCTTTATTTTTCGTTACTGGTTCTTCTCCTTATTACTTTACGATCATATTTAATCTTTTTTGTCTACATCTCATTTATTCATCTTTATTATTCACTTTTTTCTTCATTATATTGACGTTTTCATCTCTTCAGTCGCTAGTATTTCACTCTCTCTCTCTCTCTCTCTCTCTCTCTCTCTCTCTCTCTCCACAACAAAACGCTGCTGGGACAAGTCAATCATCTACGGAACAATACCACCTGTCTTGCGTGTTTCCTGTGCTACTTGATTTGTCCTTAAGGAACAATATACTAATTTTCAACTAAGGAACAATTATTGATCTAGTGCAAGGAACATCTACAGTACACTACTGTTGAACGAAGGAACGCGAGCTACTTGTCTTACTCGCAAGATACCTACATAAGGAACATCTGTGGCTACTGATTTTTTTTAATATAAGGAACAATTAACGTTACTTGTGTCTCACGTAAGTAACACGTCAGACGCTACTTTAAGTAATACAGCTCTGAGGAAACGCTGTGCTACTTAAAGAGAACATTACGGTGCTACTTAAAGAGTATTCTTTTCTTGTGGAACGCTTCTTCTACTTAAGTAACATCCGTCGTACTTAAATAAAGGAGCAGTACCTTACGGAGCTGCTCTTGGGCGTCCCTGTTACCTAAGGAACTCTCAGGAACAATGCATTTAACATCATTTGAGGTAAGTAATGCTTTTAACTAGTCTATGATAAGCTAACAAAGTGGTAAATTAACTGACCTAATTTGAAACACACTGAGTTAACTCTTACCCAAGTTAAGAGTGATATGTTAACTTTTACTCTTAAGTTAACTCTTTCCTACGTTAACTTTGATCTTAGTTAACAAGGTAAATGTTAACTCTTATCTACGTGAGGCCGTGTAACCAGTGGGGTTCCCCAGGGGTCAGTACTAGGCCCACTCTTGTTCATAATCTACATAAACGATCTAGATACTGGGATCAGCAGTGACATAAGCAAGTTTGCGGATGACACCAAAATAGGGCGGCAGATTATTTCAGGGCAGGATGCAAATGCCTTACAGGAGGATCTAAATAAACTGCAGGGGTGGTCTGAAAAATGGCAAATGAAATTCAACACCAGCAAGTGCAGCGTACTTAATATTGGAAGAACAAATACTGACAATGTATACAGCCTTAACAACACCAACCTAGAGAAGTCGACTTGTGAAAGAGACCTAGGGGTACTTGTAAGCCCGGACCTACGGCCTAGAAAACAGTGCGATAATGTTCGAAATAAGGCAAACAGAGTATTGGGTTTTATATCTAGAAGTGTAAGTAATAAGAGTGCAGAGGTCTTATTGCAACTATATCTTGCGCTAGTCAGGCCGCACCTCGATTATGCGGTTCAGTTCTGGTGCCCCTATTATAGAACGGATATCAATTCACTAAAGTCGGTGCAGCGATGAATGACGAAAATGATTCCGGGACTTAGAAACCTTCCATATCAGGATAGGTTAAAGAAACTTAACTTGCATTCCCTAGAAAGACGAAGAGTGCGGGGAGATATGATAGAAGTATTTAAGTGGGTGAAAGGAATCAATAAAGGAGATGTAGATAAAGTTCTTATAATATCCGAGCAGGATAGGACTCGGAGCAACGAATTTAAGTTGGATAAGTTTAGGTTTACATAAGAACATAAGAAAATATGGAGTCTGCAATAGGCCGGTTGGCCTGTGCATGGCAGCTCCTGTCGAGAGTTACAACCACTCTCTATCATCCATGAATCTATCTAGCCTCCTTTTGAAACTTTCCAGAGTTCCTGCACTTACTACAAAGTTGGTAAGCGTGTTCCACTCGTTCACCACCCAATTTGTGAACCAGTTTCTTCCTATCTCCCTCCTAAACCTAAACTTATCCAACTTAAATCCTCTAGGACAGTGCTACTCAAAGTGCGGTCCGCGGACCGGTGCCGGTCCGTGAGCCATCGTCTGCCGGTACGCGGAGAGTTTTCAGAAAAGAAAGAAACGATAGTCACGTTCCACACCACGTGACACTGCCGGGACATCTGACTCGGTCTTTTTTTTTTACATTTTCATTGTAGTTTTTATATTTATTATGGCTATATTTTTCATTTACTCACTCATGTTAAAAGTCATTGCTATGCAACTAACGAATGCGATATAATGAACAGCAAAACAGCGAACTGAAATACGTATAACAACACCTTCATGATGATGTGGCGTTTGACTCTGTGGGAACCACACCTGGGGATATCAATAGGGCGCATCACCTTGTGTTGCCAGAATTGCCACGTTTCTCGGCCACCAGTTACGCCATATCCACCCAAAACATAAATCTTTTTATTTTAAGTATGGTAGTTATTTAATTTCGGATAAAATAAATGTATGCATCCCATTAAAAGAAATGGCCGATTTTTTACTATGCGTGCCAGCCGTGAAGGGTGTCACACAGCTGGCAACCCTGCTATTCCACACGTGTGGATCAGCAGTCTGTGATGTCAGGTCACAGGTCAGTGGTTAGTTACCATCAAGAAGTGGAACAGAGAGCATCATACGGGTATCTGCGTGTTTGTCATTTGGGACCCCATCCCAACCCACTGATCTGAAAATGTAAGTACTAATAATCTTAAAGGCCGGTTCACACTATTCCTGTGTAAATTTGAAAAACAAAAAATTATTGTGGGACATATCTCAAAAGATTTTCCTGGGGGGGGGGGGCCTATAGGCCCCGGGATTGGCTCGCTTCGCTCGCCGGTCCGTGGCACATTGAAAAAAACCATGCCGGTCCGCCACATCAGATAGTTTGAGAAGCGCTGCTCTAGGAAACCCCCGCCCCCTCTTGGATTCGTCCCTGGTGTATTCCTCTACGTCGATGTTGATACTCGTCCTGCAGCTTTGATTGGTCAAGAGAACGTTAAATATCATGGTCAACCATAACTGCCAGGCGTATGAAGATCTATAAATGAGAACACCAACTTTGTTTTTGTCTCATAAATAACTAATGAACTACAATTTGATAAGTTTATAGGTAAATTTATGAATTTTTTGTTATCATTTAATTCGTAATAACTGTGATTGCTATAATGATCACACACGTATCCGGTACGATAACTTGGTGTTGGTGAAAAAGTTTCCCGGTCTGGCTGGTAAAAGGGTGGCCAAGACAAACAGGCAACAGGTAACAGAATATACTCAGTCACTCTGGTTGTACTGTAATTGGCAACGTAGGTAAGTTTACATTGTCACTCAAGTATTAACTGACTATAATTCAAATATATACAGGTTCAATTTAATATGCAGTTAATTAAACATACATTCCGTATCAAAGACCTTACGATTTTAACATAGACGTCAAAATTTTTCCTTGGTTCGTTGTCACCCTGAAATTCTATCACCTGGAGATATAAGAGACCCGCATCTTCCTGGTGTAAATCTACTGACCTAATCAAATTTCATATGACCCCGCTCTTTTTTTCCCACCGCCTAACCTCAAAGAAATGTGACCTTGTTAATCCTCTTGTAACACCTGACCTGAGAGACATTAATTGCTACCATTAACAAGGACCAGGTGTAGCGATGACGTCATATATAGTTGGGTCACGACGCTAAACTAACCTTATCTAACTTAACCTAACTTAACCTTATCTAACTTAACCTAACCTAACCTTATCTAACTTAACCTAACCTAGCCTTATCTAACTTAACCTAACGTTTTGTAATGTCAGTGTGGGTCTCAGGTCAGGTTAATATGTGTGTTATGTATATAGGTCAAATTCAGGTCATATAACCTCTCTCCCCAGCAAGTCATCAAACCCCCACAACACACTCCTAACAAAACAAAACGCACACTCTCAACAAAACGCACTCTTAACACAAAACACTCTTACCACAACACTACTGCTATTTTGCTGTCTCTTGGAATCGAATATGACGATCATCCATCTATGATACAATGATATGAGTTATTAAGGATGTCACCTTCGTTGGTGAGTTCTGAGGTGACTACAGAGGCCGATACGGGACCGGTGAGGCCGTCCACAGATGTTGCACGTGTGGTGGGCTACATCTAGCGCGGGAGGGGGCAGTGGCAGCGTCTTTCCGGCGTTGGCGCTTGTCTGCCTCGTTACGGTGTGGAATAATCGTCTCCCAGGTGAGGGGGTCGATTTCGCACCTCCAGGTTTGTTTTTAAGAATATCCTTATACCTTTTAAGTTGCCCGCCAGCGTTACGTTTACTATTCGTTAGGTGACTATAAAGTAGCTGCTTTGGCAGTCTACTGTCGTCCATGCTGGTAACATGGCCAGTCCAGGGCAGTTGTTCCTGGATAATGGTAGCCTCGATGCTTCTACAGTTGGTGTCAGCAAGAATGCTGGCATTTGTTCTCTTGTCTTCCCATCGAACTCGGAGAATGGAACGTAGACTACGTTGGTGAAAGTTTTCAAGTGCCTTGAGATGCCTCCTGTATGTGACCCATGTCACACTTGACAGATATTGCAAGTCAATATCAGTCCCATTCATTGACAACTGGGACAACTTCTACGGCAGAAGGGACCTTTATGCTAGGGATGGGGTGCACCTGTCTCGGGATGGAGTAGCAACCCTGGCTGGGGCACTAGAGGGGGCAGTTCAAAAGATATTGAAGTCTTTAAACTGCTAGGAGAACATATGAGCACGGAGGTGGAGGCGACTGCAGTGGGAGCGGGTAAACAAAGTGAAAGATTACAGGGAAATAGTGTTAGGAATGATGACAAAACTAAATTAGACAGGGAGTTTAAAACTAAACGCGGTAAAGGGAGGACTCAGAACACGACTAACGTAAATGTATACTACGCGAACAGTAGAAGTATGAGAAACAAAATGGATGATATTAGGGCCTTGGTATGTACTGAAAAAATCGATATAATAGCATTCACTGAAACATGGATCAACCTAGACTCACTTGAGTTACCGCTCGAATACCAAATTGCGGGTTACAAACTGTTCCATACCGATAGGCAGACCAGGAAAGGAGGCGGAGTAGCAATCTATGTTAGGGATAATCTGAAGTGTGAACTAAATAAGGAAATAAAAACTGAGCGGAATACAGAAACAATTTGGATAGAATTAATCGACGGTAGGGAAAAAGTAATCACAGGAGTAATATATAGACCTCCCAACCTTGATAGTCAATGAGCGACTTATCTGGGATGAAATGCGTAGGGCTTCCATACACAACAAAGTCTGTATAGTAGGCGACTTCAACCTTGGCCAAATAGATTGGACTGACCTTACAGGTAACTCAGAATCAGAGGATTTTCTCGAGACGATCCAGGACTGTTTTCTAAGTCAACATATAACCGAACCCACCCAGGGTAATAATATACTCGATTTAGTTCTGTCAAACAGAGAAAACCTCATTAGCAATGTCGAGGTAGGGAACGAACTTGCAAACAGCGATCACAAAGAAATTAGATTCCAGTTAGATTTTCAGGGCAGACGTAAGGAAAATTACACTAAAGTACCAGATTTCAGAAGGGCAAACTTTGACAGTTTAAAGAGGCAGCTGAGAGAGGGGGTGTTGCACTTGGCCGTGAACCTGACAGATGACACCGACCTGATAACGAGATCTGAGATTACCGAGTTCCACAACAATTTAAATAATGAGTTACTTAATGCACAAGGCAGAACATACCATACAAAAAACTCAGATCAGACAACAATGACCCTAAGTGGATAAATAATTATTTAAAGAACATCATTGGCCAAAGGAAGGCTATAGGTAGAAGGATAAATCGTGGCGAAATTTACCTCCGGGATTATTATAGGGTATTGGTGAGTAGGGTTAAAACCGAGATAAGGAAAGCCAAGAGGAATAATGAGGTAAGGATAGCAAGGGAGGCGAAGACAAACCCCAAAGGATTCTACCAAATGTATCAAACTAAAACACGAGAAAAGATTGGACCAATACGGTCAGATACCGGCGAGCTCACTGATAACGACGGAGAAATGAGCAACAACAGTTTTCACCACCGAAAATTTAAACATAATACCCGAGGCACCGACTCCATTCAGAGATAGTGAAGAAAACAAATTAAGCGAGATAGTAGTGACTAGTTACGATGTTAGTAAGCAAATAGACAAACTAAAGCCTAATAAGTCACCTGGTCCCGATGAGATATTTGCCAGAGTATTAAAGGAATGTAAGGAAGAGCTTAGTATGCCCTTAGCAAAGTTGTTTAACATCCTTTAAAACATGGCATCAAAGGTAATATCCTTAAATGGATTAGGGCTTGGTTACAGGACAGGAAACAGCGAGTGAGCATTAATGGCACTAAGTCCCATTGGAGCAACGTCACAAGTGGAGTTCCCCAAGGCTCAGTACTTGGACCATTATTATTTATTATATACATAAATGACATAGATATCGGCATAGACAGCAACATAAGCAAATTTGCCGATGACACTAAAATAGGACTTCTTATTAAATCTGACGAGGACTCCGCAAAACTACAGGAAGATCTAAACAAATTTTTCGAATAGTCTGAAAAATGGCAGATGAAATTCAACGTGGACAAATGTAAAGTACTCAGTATAGGAGATGTAAACAGGGAAACCAGATACCAGATGAACAACGATGCCATAGAGAAATCCGACTGCGAGAGAGATTTAGGATTAATGATAAGTAGGAACCTTAAGCCAAGTAAACAATGTGTTTTTGCTCGTAACAAGGCTAATAAAGTACTTGGGTTCATACAGAGGAGTGTTAGTTACAAGACTAGCGAGGTCATCCTAAAACTGTATCTTGCTCTTGTGAGACCACACCTGGATTACGCAGTTCAGTTCTGGTCACCGTATTACAGAATGGATATAGAATCCTTGGAAAGAATTCAGAGGAGAATGACAAGACTAATCCCGGGCATTAGGAACCTTGAGTATAGAGACAGGTTAAAGCATCTTAATTTGCACTCCCTCGAGAGACGTACAGCGAGGGGTGACCTGATAGAGGTGTATAAGTGGAAGGCAGGGCTAAACAAAGGAGACATTACAGAGGTACTCAAACTATCCAACCAGGAGCGAACTCGTAACAATGGTTTTAAATTAGACAAATTTAGATTTAGACGTGAAATAGGTAAACACTGGTTTGGAAACAGAGTAGTGGATGAATGGAACAAGTTACCAAATATCATCATTAACTCGAATACGCTGAATAGCTTCAAACATAGGTTGGATGCTTATATGAACAATAGGGGTTGGGTGTAAACGGGACTGCCCAGTGTGGGCCAATAGGCCCGCTGCAGTTTCCTCCATTCTTATGTTCTTATGTTCTTATATAGCAGGGTGGGGGAGGACTACCACTCGATATACATGTAACTTTGTATATAATTTCAGCTCCCTACAGCTGAAGACACGGGTACGGAGTCTGCCAAAGGCTTAACACAACACACATAATTGACCATTTTTCAAACCTTCTTTCACTATCCATATAAAAAAACCGAATAGAACATGAGAATGGAGGAAGCTGCAGCGGGCCTATTGGCCCCTACTGGGCAGTCCCGTTTACACCCAACCCCTATTGCTCATTTATCCACCCAACCTATGTTTGAAGCTATCCAGCGTATTCGAGTTAATGTTTGGTAACTTGTTCCACTCGTCCACTACCTGTTGACTGGTTAATCTGACCTGACGGCTTACGCCACCATCGCAACCGTGACCTTACCATCCATAGCGACAGTCCCATGGAGGTTGGTGGGGGTGGGTTCCTCTGACCACATAATCTAACTCCATATATATTTTCTTTGGCCCTGCAGTGGCTGAGTTGCCTCGTGCCCACACCCTCCTAGGGACGGCTGTGTCGAGCATCTTAAGTGATTGCGTCAAACAGGAACCTCTGGCCAGGCATAAAATCATGTTTTCTGTCATTTACAAGGTTACTGTTGTTGTTTGTGAGTATAAGCCTCCCATTGTTATCTACCAGTCGCTGGGGACTTTCGCTCCTCCGTGCATCCCCAGAACTATTTTCAAGTTGGTAAGCGTGCTATCTTTAACCAATAGTCACGTATTTAAATCAATAATTACGTATTGTAATTCAGAATTCACGTGTTTTAAATCTATCACCATGTAATTTAAATCAATAATTACGTATTTTATATCAATAATCACGTATTTTATATCAATAATCACGTATTTCAAATCAGTCACGTATTTTAAATCAACAATCACGTATTCTAGGTTAGTAAATCACGAGTCGTCAACCATTAAGAGTTACGAAAGATGTTACCTGCGTTAAGTCACGTTACCTGTGAGTGTGGACTGATTATTGCGTACCGGTGTGTCGTCACCAGACAACTTTCACTACACCGACCTTGTGTGTGTGTGTGTGTGTGTGTGTGTGTGTGTGTGTGCGGGTATGTATGTTATGTTGTGTTGTGTTTAGGTTTAGGAGGGAGATAGGAAGGAACTGGTTCACAAATAGGGTGGTAGACGAGTGGAACAAGCTTAGCAACTTTGTAGTAAGTGCTGGAACTCTGGAAAGTTTTAAAAGGAGGCTAGATAGATTCATGGATGATAGAGAGTGGTAGTAACTCTCGACAGGAGCTGCCATGCACAGGCCAACCAGTGGTGATTGTATATTACTGATAATTTACAAGCGTACGATAGATGTGTACAAATGGAAGTCAGGGCTAAACAAAGGGGACATAACAAAGGTACTCAAACTATCCAACCAGGAGCGAACTCGTAACAATGGCTTTAAATTAGACAAATTTAGATTTAGGTGGGAAATAGTAAACATTGGTTTGGAAACAGAGTAGTGGATGAATGGAACAAGTTACCAAACATCATCATTAACTCGAACACGCTGGATAGCTTCAAACAGAATCCAGGAAAAAAAGTCACAGGAAAACCTAACCTAACCTAACCTAACCTACGTGCATCATATACAAATTGTGTTGTCAATATTTAAAAGTTATGAATTGTCAGTTAATAACTGTTTTAAAATATTTTTAGTTTTATTACCTTAAATAAGAACATAAGAATGGAGGAAACTGCAGCGGGCCTATTGGCCCATACTGGGCAGTCCCGTTTACACCCAACCCCTATTGCTCATATAAGCATCCAACCTATGTTTGAAGCTATTCAGCCTTATTCGAGTTAATGATGATATTTGGTAACTTGTTCCATTCATCCACTACTCTGTTACCATACCAGTGTTTACCTATTTCCCGCCTAATGTGACTCTTTTCCTGTGACTTTTTTTCCTAGCCAAAATTGTGACTTTTTTCCTGTGAATATTTTTCCGTCCACCTTCAAACATAAGTTGGACGGATATATGAGCAATAAGGGTTGGGTGTAAATGGGACTGCCCAGTATGGACCAATAGACCCGCTGCAATTTCCTCCATTCTTATGTTATGAGCGGTGATACAAAGATAGATAGATAGAGTGAGTGAGAGAGAAATAGATAGATAGAGTGAGTGAGAGAGAAATATATAGATAGAGTGAGTGAGAGAGAAATAGATAGATAGAGTGAGTGAGAGAGAAATATATAGATAGAGTGAGTGAGAGAGAAATATATAGATAGAGTGAGTGAGAGAGAAATAGATAGATAGAGTGAGAGAGAGAAATAGATAGAGTGAGATAGATAGAGAGAGTGAGAGATAGAGTGAGTGAGAGAGAAATATATAGATAGAGTGAGTGAGAGAGAAATATATAGATAGAGTGAGTGAGAGAGAAATAGAGATAGAGTGAGTGAGAGAGAAATATATAGATAGAGAGAGTGAGAGAGAAATAGATAGATAGAGAGAGAGAGACTGAGAAGGGTGGGAGTGAGAAAGAGGGGGGTAACTTAAATATCTACTACGCGAACAGTAGAAGTATGAGAAACAAAATGGATGATATTATGGCCTTTGTATGTACCGAAAAAATCGATATAATAGCATTCACTGAAACATGGATCAACCTAGACTCTCTCTCTCTCTACATCTCTCCCCTTCTCTCACCTACAGATGGAGGATGTTGGAGGAGTACCAGTAGGGGAGGAGGAGGAGGAGGACAAGTTCGGCAACCCCCCCAACAAGAAGACCGACGTAGCCAAGTCTAGCGAGGCCTTGGTCGAGGTGGACAATAAGAACAAGTTACTTTACTCCGTCGAGGACAACCCACCTTGGTACACCTGTGTGTTCTTGGGCCTACAGGTGAGTAAGTGGTGGTAGTGGTGGTAATAGTAGAAGTTTAATGTTGGTAGTGATTGTGGTAGCTCGAAATAATCAAGTTATACACGGTAACATTATCGAAAACAGAGTGTCGTACTGTTAAAAGACCACTTGAGAGGTTTATGTGTTCGTATAATGTAACAGACAGATCTCTCACTATCTCTCACCGTCTCTCCTGCAGCATTATCTCATGATGGTGGAGTCGACGGTGAGCATCCCGTACCTGTTAACGCCCCTCATGTGTATGGCAGCCACAGATCCTGCCAGGGGCGCCATCGCTTCTACTATCATCTTCGTCAGCGGCATCGTCACCCTCCTTCAGACCTCCTTCGGTATCAGGTAGGTCTTCAAGGGGCGGTGGGTTGGGGTGAGGTTAGGTGGGGTGTTTAGGTCAGGTCACGGGTATAGGCTTGGTCAGGGGGAGGGAGGGAGATTGGATGAGGGGGGAGGGGTGGATGAGGGAGGGGGGAGGTTGACTGTCATAAACAAACCCCTTTTAAATGTCAATATGTCTAATAATTTGTTGTTTATATTGTATCTCTCTCTCTCTCTCTCTCTCTCTCTCTCCATCATTCCTCCCTTTTTTCACCCATTTCCTACCCTTATTCCTTACTCCTCTTCTTCAACTCATCTCTACCCATTCTTTCCTCCCTCTCCTCAGATTACCCATCGTGCAGGGGGGTACTCATGGGTTCCTGGGCCCCACTCTTGCCATCCTAGCCCTCATGCCCTGCCCCCCTGAGGAAGAACTCGAGGCCCTCACCTATACTGAGAGAACACACCTTTGGCAGACCCGGATGAATGAGGTGCAAGGAGCCATCTGTGTTGCTGCTATTTTCCAAGTCCTCGTAGGTTGTACAGGTGAGAGAGAGAGAGAGAGAGAGAGAGAGAGAGAGAGAGAGTGAGAGAGAGATATAAACGTGAGATAGGGTTAGGTTTAGGCGTGTGAGGTAAGTGAAAAGTACTCGGTGGTTGAGTGAGAAGTAAAAGAGGTAAAATGAATGGAACAAGTTACCAAACATCATCATTAATCCAAACTCTCCCCAGGAATCTACACACACACACACACACACACACACACACACACAGGCAGGCTGAACACATATAGGGGGTGATAAAAGCCGGGTGTAAACAGGGACTGGCTAGTATGGACCAATAGACCTACAAGGGGCTGCCTAGTATGGACCAATAGACCTACAAGGGACTGGCTAGTATGGACCAATAGACCTACAAGGGGCTGCCTAGTATGGACCAATAGACCTACAAGGGGCTGCCTAGTATGGACCAATAGACCTACAAGGGGCTGCCTAGTATGGACCAATAGACCTACAAGGGGCTGCCTAGTATGGACCAATAGACCTGCAAGGGACTGGCTAGTATAGACCAATAGACCTACAAGGGGCTGCCTAGTATGGACCAATAGACCTACAAGGGGCTGCCTAGTATGGACCAATAGACCTACAAGGAGCTGCCTAGTATGGACCAATAGACCTACAAGGGGCTGTAGTATGGACCAATAGACCTACAAGGGACTGGCTAGTATAGACCAATAGACCTACAAGGGGCTGCCTAGTATGGACCAATAGACCTACAAGGGGCTGCCTAGTATGGACCAATAGACCTACAAGGGCTGCCTAGTATGGACCAATAGACCTACAAGGGCTGCCTAGTATGGACCAATAGACCCACAAGGCTGCCTAGTATGGACCAATAGACCTACAAGGAGCTGCCTAGTATGGACCAATAGACCTACAAGGGGCTGCCTAGTATGGACCAATAGACCTACAAGGGGCTGCCTAGTATGGACCAATAGACCTACAAGGGGCTGCTTAGTATGGACCAATAAGGCAACTGCAGTTTCCTCTGTTCTTACACGCAATAGGAAGTTATGCGTTGCTAGTGTTTTTCAAGTCTTCGTGGGCAATACAAGTGAGAGAGAGAGAGAGAGAGAGAGAATAGGTGGCTAGGTCGTACTGAGAGAGAGAGAGAATAGGTGGTTAGGTCGTACTGAGAGAGAGAGAGAGAGGTGGTTAGGTCGTACTGAGAGAGAGAAAATAGGTGGTTAGGTCGTACTGAGAGAGAGAGAGAATAGGTGGTTAGGTCGTACTGAGAGAGAGAGAGAATAGGTGGTTAGGTCGTACTGAGAGAGAGAGAGAGAATAGGTGGCTAGGTCGTACTGAGAGAGAGAGAGAATAGGTGGTTAGGTCGTACTGAGAGAGAGAGAGAGAGAGAGAGAATAGGTGGCTAGGTCGTACTGAGAGAAAGTGAGAGAGATATAGAGTTTCCACTTTATCTCTTGCAGTATTCTCTTAAGTGTACTCATTATAAAGTGTACTATTATAGTAGATACAATGTACTCAAATAACCTTAAATGTACTCATCTATTACATGTACTCTCCTTATCTAATAGGAACTCATGTTTGTACTTCATTTTAACCTTTAAAGTACTACGATCTACTAATGTGTACTAAAATGTACTCTCATATACTGTACCAATATTTAATCCCATGTACTCTCCTATACAAAGATGTACTATTCCGTACTAATTTATAACACCATGTACTAAAATGTAACATCATGTACTAAAATGTAACACCATGTACTAAAATGTAACACCATGTACTAAAATGTAACATCATGTACTAAAATGTAACACCATGTACTAAAATGTAACATCCACCCGTACAGGAGCTATCGGGGCATTACTACGATGGATTAGTCCCCTGGTGATTGTACCGACAGTCACTCTCATTGGCTTTTCGCTGTACCCTGTCGCAGCTAGCAAGGCATCCTCTCACTGGGGTATCGCCTCTATGTGAGTTACTGTCTATTTTTGTGTGTATCCGTCTGTTTTTTGGTTCTGTATATCTGTTTGTTTGTATTTTTACTGTTTGTGGTTCTCTGTCTCTGTCTGTCTATCTTTCTTTACTGTTTTCTTCTCTCTCTCTCTCTCTCTCTCTCTCTCTCTCTCTCTCTCTCTCTCTCTCTCTCTCAATATGCACTATATATATTAAGTAACAGTGTATGGAAAGCTATGTTTATATATGTAAAAAAATTTCTTTCAAAAGTTTTAAAATTACAAAACCAGAGCCATGAACTACTGAAACTGACTTAACGAGAACTACTGAAACTGAGCTTAAACTTGTCTAGAACTACTGAAAATGGCCTTAAATTTGACCAAAACTACTGAAGCTTACCTAAAACTCACTACAATTCCATCATTACTTTAAATCCATAAATATCATCCCCAGACCCTTAAAAATACCTTAATTCCACTCAGAACCCTTTAAACTGACCCCAGATTCCACTCAGAAACCCTTAACCAATCCCAGAACCCTTTTAGCAAACTATTAACTCCTTAAACAACCCCAGAACCCCTTTATTAATCTTAGAACCCCTTTAACAATCCCAGAATCCTTTTAAATAACTCCGAATATCATCTAGAACCCCTTTACATAACCCACCCCATTTTGTTTTCCCCAGGACGATCGTGTTACTGGTGTTGTTTTCCCAGTACCTGAGCGAGGTGGCACTACCTGGGTTTACCTGGTCAAGAGAGAGAGGCTTCACCCGAATTAACATCTACGTCTTCAAACTCTTCCCGGTAGGTGAGGTAGGGGGAGGGGTGTGGTGAGGGGGAGATAGGGGAGGTGTAGGTAGTAGGAGTTAGGTAATAGGAGAGGAGGGAATTGAGGAAGGGGTGGTAGGGAGGAAGAGGTGTGGGGGTGTTAGACGGGAGAGAGGAGGATGGGACCAAGGGAAAAGTGAAAGGGGTAGGTAAAGGAAGTGTGTGTGTGTGTGTGTGTGTGTGTGTGCGTATACAATAGCCAATGTCTATAAAGGGCCTGTGCTGTATAGCCTTGGGGTAGGTAGGTGGGTGGGTGTTCTGTGTGTGAGGTCAAGTAACCCACGAGTCTTGATGTTGCACACGCACCTAATGGAATATCTCATCCACTGGTATTGTCATGAGGGACGTAAATAATGAACCAATCAATATCTTACTTAAAAAAGGAAACAATATAAACAGCGTATCTTACTTTAACCGATAAACAGACATCACTAGAAGCAACCCTTAAATGATGACGTAATAGATTTTAACCAATAAACAGACATCACTAGAAGCAACCCTTAAATGATGACGTAATAGATTTTAACCAATAAACAGACATCACTAGAAGCAACCCTTAAATGATGACGTAATAGATTTTAACCAATAAACAGACATCACTAGAAGCAACCCTTAAATGATGACGTAATAGATTTTAACCAATAAACAGACATCACTAGAAGCAACCCTTAAATGATGACGCAATAGATTTTAACCAATAAACAGACATCACTAGAAGCAACCCTTAAATGATGACGCAATAGATTTTAACCAATAAACAGACATCACTAGAAGCAACCCTTAAATGATGACGCAATAGATTTTAACCAATAAACAGACATCACTAGAAGCAACCCTTAAATGATGACGTAATAGATTTTAGCCAATCATATCGTCTTTGAGAAAAATAAACACACACTATTTTGTTTTTGTTGATGGTAGTAGGCAGCTACCAAACAGGGAGGTACTACCGCCTGGGAAGATATTGGAAGCATAATGTGTTGTCTAATGGTAGACCCTGCTGCCATATGTGACCAAGTCCCAGGTTGATGATCTGACTTTCTGCCTCATTTACACACAATTGCAGGGTCTCAATTGTTTCTCTTATTATTGACAACACAACATACATATATATGGTTCCTCACTTTTGATCTTTTTTTTATGGTTTATTATTATTATTGTTATTATCATTGTTATTTTATTATTATTTTTTTATTTGTTATTATAAATTTTACTTCTCTGAATTATTATTATTATTATTATTATTATTACATTTTCGTCCTCCAGGCTGTTATGTGGGTCAGTCACAAGTGCCAGGGTGGGCTAATGCCGTAAAAAAAATGGGGGGAGGTGAGCTACTATACTTTTCTTAGTAGCACACACACACACACACACACACACACACACACACACACACACACACACACACACATTACCCCTCACACAGGTAAACCTCACACCTACTCAACTTCCTCCTTCGTGACAGTAAGTAAGATGAAAATGGAATAGTCTCTCTCTCTCTCTCTCTCTCTCACTACCCTCTCTCTCACACAGGTACTGCTGGCGGTGGTGATGGCGTGGGGAACGTGCTGGATCTTAACGGTGACGGAGGTCCTACCGAAGGACAACCTCGCCAGGACTGATCTCAGACTAGATATGATCACGGAGTCGCCCTGGTTCCGCGTTCCCTACCCCTGTGAGTATCTGAAGGTGTTGTGAGTATCCTGTAGGTGTTGTGAGTATCCTGAAGGTGTTGTGAGTATCCTGAAGGTGTTGTGAGTATCCTGAAGGTGTTGTAAGTATCCTGTAGGTGTTGTGAGTATCCTGAAGGTGTTGTGAGTATCCTGTAGGTGTTGTGAGTATCCTGTAGGTGTTGTGAGTATCCTGTAGGTGTTGTGAGTATCCTGAAGGTGTTGTGAGTATCTGAAGGTGTTGTGAGTATCCTGTAGGTGTTGTGAGTATCCTGAAGGTGTTGTGAGTATCCTGAAGGTGTTGTGAGTATCCTGAAGGTGTTGTAAGTATCCTGTAGGTGTTGTGAGTATCCTGAAGGTGTTGTGAGTATCCTGTAGGTGTTGTGAGTATCCTGTAGGTGCTGTGAGTACCTGTAGGAGTTGTGAGTATCCTGTAGGTGTTGTGAGTACCTGTAGGTGTTGTGAGTACCTGTAGGAGTTGTGAGTATCTGCAGAAATGCCTGTTCGTATCTGTATAAGAATATCAAGGACCATTTATACTGTACTAACCCATCTACACCACTTTACAGGTCAGTGGGGGCAGGCACTAACCTACCTACACCACTTTACAGGTCACTAACCCATCTACACCACTTTACAGGTCAGTGGGGGCAGGCACTAACCTACCTACACCACTTTACAGGTCAGTGGGGGCTGCCTACAGTGAGCGTGGCAGGAGTGCTTGGTATGTTGGCTGGTGTCCTCGCAAGCATCGTGGAGAGCGTTGGTGACTACTTTGCTTGTGCTAGATTGTCTGGTGAGTCTCTCTCTCTCTCTCTCTCTCTCTCTCTCTCTCTCTCTTCTCGACTGTCTTCGTTCCTTTCTTTCTCCTTTACTTTCCCTTCCTACTTCCTTTATTCTTCTCCTCGAATTTCTTCCTATCTTCTTCCTCTTACCTAACATCCCTGTCTTCCTCCTTCTCTCTCTCTCCCTCCTTCCTTCCTTCCATTGTTTCCTCTTTGAATTAATCTGAGGTCAATTAACTCTCACTGTGAATATCATGTAAAGTCTGTGATTGGCTATTTAGTGACAGATCCTGGCTGTGATTGGTGGAAAAAATTACGTGCTAATAATAGAACCCTAACTGTGATTGGCTATTTAGTGACAGATCCTGGCTGTGATTGGTGGAAAAAATTACGTGCTAATAATAGAACCCTAACTGTGATTGGCTATTTAGTGACAGATCCTGGCAGTGATTGGTGGAAAAAATTACGTGCTAATAATAGAACTCTAATTGTGATTGGCTATTTAGTGACAGATCCTGGCTGTGATTGGTGGAAAAATATGTATAAGTTGATCTTGACTGTTATTACTTATGACTACTTAATGTAAACAACTTCTAATGATTATTTAATGTTTACACCTTGTTTACATTGTTTACTCTCGTGCTGGCCCGCAGGAGCGCCGGCACCCCCCAAGCATGCCATCAACCGGGGTATCTGGATCGAGGGACTTGGCACTATTCTGGCAGGGCTGTGGGGCACGGGGAGTGGCACCACTTCCTACTCCCAGAACGTCGGGGCCATTGGTGTCACCAAGGTGGGTATCCCAGGCTGTTGGCAGGTCACGGGGGCTCTTGTGAGAGTCCTTACTTAACCTAACCTAACCTAACCAAACCTAACCTAACTCAACCTAGCCTTACCTGACCCGACCTAATCTAACTTAGGATTAAAAAGCATAACAATGGAGCCTATTAGGAAAATGTCTTATTTTCACCAGTGTCTATTAAAGCTGGGTCCCAATAACACTGTGCCCCAATAACACTGTGACCCAATAACACTGTGACCCGCGGGGACCCATATAGCAGACAGGTGTATAGAACATCTGTGTTATAATGGACACGAAAGGAGGGGTGTGGACGGAGGGTAAACCACAGTGTGCACAGTTAAGTGTGATTATACGCGATTTCCTGTTCTGTGTACACTCCCGCTTGTGTCACACTCTGAACCATGACAACCTCCTCTCCCCCTCCCCGTATATAGCCTTGACGAGGGTGAGAATATATCAATGGCATATGGTTTATTTTTTAGAAACTATACTTGGTGATGTTCAGGTGATTTTTATAGTTGGGACCTGCCTGACGAAGTAACCAATGTTTGTATGTGTCATGTATACAGGGGGACTCATAACCAAAGGCCTACCTGACGAAGTAACCAATGTTTGTATGTGTCATGTATACAGGGGGACTCATAACCAAAGACCTACCTGACGAAGTAACCAATGTTTGTATGTGTCATGTATACAGGGGGACTCATAACCAAAGACCTATCTGACGAAGTAACCAATGTTTGTATGTGTCATGTATACAGGGGGACTCATAACCAAAGACCTATCTGACGAAGTAACCAATGTTTGTATGTGTCATGTATACAGGGGGACTCATAACCAAAGACCTACCTGACGAAGTAACCAATGTTTGTATGTGTCATTTATACAGGGGGTCTCATAACCAAAGACCTATCTGACGAAGTAACCAATGTTTGTATGTGTCATGTATACAGGGGGACTCATAACCAAAGACCTACCTGACGAAGTAACCAACGTATATGCATGTACAGGTTGGGAGCCGTCGTGTGGTGCAGTACAGCGCGGTTATCATGCTCCTGTGTGGCCTGGTGGGGAAGGTCGGGGCTCTGCTCATCACCATCCCAGAGCCCATCATCGGCGGCATCTTCTGTGTGGTGTTCGCCATGATCACCTCCGTCGGCCTCTCAACCCTTCAGTACGTCGACCTCAACTCCTCCAGGAACCTCTTCGTTTTGGGCTTTTCCCTCTTCTTCGGGATGGCCCTGCCCATGGTGAGAGAGATACTGAGAGAGAGACAGTGTGTGTGTGTGTAGTGTACAGTGCATCATTGTATCGTGTGTCAGTCTTTGTCAAGGGATGCAAATAATTATATAGTTAATACACCCACTTACACCACCTACACCACTTACACCACTCTTACACGTTTAACCTAACCACCATTCCAGGACCACTAACACCTTTAACCACCACGCAAGCATCACTAACACCCATTACTTCCTCTACAGTGGATGGCGAAACCAGAAAACCTGAGAATTATCCAGACGTCAGTACCTATGTTGGATCAGGTGTTATCGGTACTGTTGAAGACGTCCATGTTTGTAGGAGGCTGTCTCGGCTTTTTCCTTGACAACACTATCCCAGGTAGGTTGGTCTCTCCTCACCCCAACCATCTCCCTCCTTGTCTCTCACCCCAGCCACCTCCCTCCTTGTCTCCTCACCCCCAGCCACCTCCCTCCTTGTCTCCTCACCCCAGCCACCTCCCCTCCTTGTCTCCTCACCCCAGCCACCTCCTCCTTGTCTCCCCCCCCCCTCTCGCCCTCCTCGTCCACCCAGCCACCTGTCCCCCACCCCCCCCCCCACCCCTTCTCCTCACCCCAGCCACCTCCCTCCTGGTCTCCTCACCCCACCTCCCTCCGGTCTCCTCACCCCAGCCACCTCCTCCTGGTCTCCTCACCCCAGCCACCTCCCTCCTTGTCTCCTCACCCAGCCACCTCCTCCTGGTCTCCTCACCCCAGCCACCTCCCTCCTGGTCTCCTCCACCCCAGCCACCTCCCTCCTGGTCTCCTCACCCCAGCCACCTCCCTCCTTGTCTCCCTCACCCCAGCCTCCCCTCCTGGTCTCCTCACCCCAGCCACCTCCCTCCTGGTCTCCTCACCCCAGCCACCTCCCTCCTGGTCTCCTCACCCCAGCCATCTCCCTCCTGGTCTCCTCACCCCAGCCACTTCCCTCTGGTCTCCTCACCCCAGCCACCTCCCTCCTTGTCTCCTCCCCCAGCCACCTCCCTCCTTGTCTCCTCCCCCCAGCCACCTCCCTCCTTGTCTCCTCACCCCAGCCACCTCCCTCCTTGTCTCACCCCAGCCACCCTCCTTGTCTCCCCACCCCAGCCACCCTCCTTGTTCCCTCACCCCAGCCAATTCCTGGTCTCACCCCAGCCACCTCCCCTCCTGGTCTCCTCACCCCAGCCAAGTAATTAAGACCCATTTCTGCCTTAACTGACGTCATTAAGACCTATCCTTACCTTAACTAACCTTGCTAATTGCTATCCTTACCTAACCTAACTAAACTCTATCTCAACTTGACCTGACCTGACGTAATCATTATTAACCTCTGTCTTAACTTGACCTGACTTGAACTGGCTTAACCATTATTAACCTCTATCTCAACTTCACCTGACCTGACCTAACTTAACCAATATTAATCTCTACGTCGACTTAACCTGACCTGATCTATCTTAACCATTATTAAGTTATATCTCAACTTAACCTGACCTAAATTAACCATTATTAAGCTCTATATCAACATGACCTGACCTGACCTGACCTAACTTAACCATTACAAACATTTATCTCAACATGACCTGACATAACCAATATTAACGTCTACCTCAACTTAACCTGACCTAACCTAAATTAACCATTATTTTAACTATTTCAACTTAAGCTAACCTGACCTGACCTTTCTCTCTAGGGACGGACGAGGAGCGAGGGATGGTGGCGTGGAAGGATCAGTTAAAGCCCCCTAGTGAAGAATCTGCCATGGACCATTCTTGTTATAACCTTCCCGTAGGCATGGACACCGTCAGGAGGTAATGTGTAGGTTTTGTATCCGTCTGTTTGTGGAGGGATATTTTTGGTGAGTGTGTGTCTGTGTGAACCTAATCTAACCTAGTCTGTCTGTGTCTGTTTGTGGGGGAGTTAATATTTTTAGTGTGTGTGTGTCTGTGTGAACCTAATCTAACCTAACCTTCATCTCTCGTTTATAATGTTACAACTGTTTAATATATTACAGATGGAATTGGACGAGGTATGTACCCATATCCCCTACGTTTATCGGCTGGGGGTTCGTAAGGAAGAGGTGTATGAAATCATCAGCGTAGAGGGTGCCACTACTACTATCACCACCCACAACTACAGCTACTATTACTACTTCACATCACCACCACCATCACTATATTAATACTACCATCACCATCACCACTACTACTACTACTGCTACTTTTTTTTTCTTCCTGTATAATAACCTCCAGCCTCCTCTTATTAACCATGCCACCAATTTTACATCATATGACCCCCTTCCCCCCTCACCCCCTCAGTGTCACCCTGACGAAGGAGTCGATAAATAAAGTACTTCTTGGGCGATAGAACCCACAGATATCATCCACAGAACCCTTCCCTCCTCCCTGACGAGATCCCCTTGTGCCATCTCCAGAACCACCAGCACTACCCCCCAACAGAACCACCAGCACTACCCCCCAACAGAACCATCAGCACCTCACTAACAACAAATACACTCCGGGAAACTGACAGACAAATGGACAACAACGTCTTATTGTATCTACCAAACACAAGCCAGCATAAGACGACGTATCTTTAAGCTTTACGTCGTCATATAACCAGGGCAGCAGTGCAGAGATCCTGTAAATTTGGCCTAGAAACGCACACACTCTTTATTTTTTGTGAACGAATGCTAAGAAGAAGCTACACTGACAGGAAAACAAATTAAGATGAGCAAAACTTCAAGATAAATACTTTAAATGTACAGAAAAATACAAATGAGATACTTTAGTCATATAATTAAGGATGATGTGATAATAATAACATAAATATTAATGGGTAAAGTTGGTGGTAGGTGGGTCAGGGGAAGGTAGGGACTGGGATGGATGGAGGACTGTGGTCGCTAACCCTCAGATATGACGAAGGAATTCTGATAATGCGGTCCTGATGGTTAAAAGATGCTCCTATAGTACATTATGTTGATCACGTGGAAATTAGTCCCAACCTTACTTAACCCCCGATAGCATTAGGAGGGCTAATCTTCATGTGATCCATTTGTGTCCTTAGCAACCGTGCCGCTTGTCTGAGCTGTCACGGTTGCTAGGGACAAATTTAAATGGGTTGAGATTAGTCGATAAGTCAATTATTCTCGAAATTTTATGACCCCCCAACAAATTATCTCACCTCACTTGCGGTCATAACTTTACCTCACAAGATATCATGACCCCACATTACAACAGGTCATGACCCCACATTACAATAGGTCATGACCCCCACATTACAACAGGTCATGACCCCACATTACAATAGGTCATGACCCCCACATTACAACAGGTCATGACCCCCACATTACAACAGGTCATGACCCCACATTACAACAGGTCATGATCCCACATTACAATAGGTCATGACCCCCACATTACAACAGGTCATGACCCCACATTACAATAGGGCCAGACCACATATACAGGTCATGACCCCACATTACAACAGATCATGGACCCCACATTTTGCAATAGGTCATGGCCCACATTACAACAGGTCATGACCCTTATTATACATAACAGTCATGACCCCACATTACAACAGGTCATGACCCCACAACAGGTCATGACCCCCAATTACTGCAATAATAGGTCACAGTGACCTCTATTATTACAATAGTCATGACCCCACATTACAATAGTCATGATCCCTTACAATAGGTCATGATCCCCACATAATAGGGCCATGACCCTTATTAGCAACAGGTCATGACCCCACATTACAACAGGTCATGACCCCACATTACAACAGGTCATACCCCACATTACAATAGGTCATGACCCCCACATTACAATGGGTCATGACCCCACATTACAATGGGTCATGACCCCACATTACAACAGGTCATGACCCCCACATTACAATAGGTCATGACCCCACATTGCAATAGGTCATGACCCCTACATTACAATAGGTCATGACTCCACATTACAACAGGTCATGACCCCACATTACAACAGGTCATGACCCCACATTACAATAGGTCATGACCCCACATTACAATAGGTCATGACCCCCACATTACAATAGGTCATGACCCCCACATTACAATAGGTCATGACCCCACATTACAACAGGTCATGACCCCACATTACAGTAGGTCATAAACCCCACAAAATGTCATCACCCTACCTAACATGTCATGACCCCATCCCATTGCAGGTCATGACCCCATCCCATAACAGGTGTGGGGATCATGACACCTCGGCCAGTGAGAAGTTATTGTGTGACCTCTGAGTCTTCCGTTTGTTTCTGTATGCAATGTTGTCTCAATAAAAGTCTTTGAAAACTATTGTGAATTTTTACTTAAAGAAATGTAAGTTTGTAACGTTGTGTGTGTGTGTAAAACATCACAGATGACATGTAATAGACAGTAGGCAGTCGGCAGCTACCAAACAGGGAGGTACTACCGCCGTGGAAGATATTGGAAGCATAATATATTGTCTAATGGTAGACCCTGCTGCCATATGGCATCACGAAAATTGTGACCAAGTCCCAGGTTGCTGCTCTGACTTTCTGCCTCATTTACACACAATTGCAGGGTCTCAATTGTCTCTCTTACTATTGACAACTCAACATACAAACAGTATATTGTTCCTCACTTTTGATCTTTTCATTTGTGTATTTATGGTTCTTTATTATTATTGTTATTACAGAGTTATTATTATTTTATTTTTTTATTTTAAATTTCATCTACTATGAATTATTATTATTATTATTATTACTTTTTTGCCCCCCAAGCCCTTATGTGGGTCAGTGACCTGTGCCCGGGTGGGCTAATGCCCGCAAAAAAATAAAAAATAATTATATATATATATATATATATATATATATATATATATATATATATATATATATATATATATATATATATATATATATATATATATATATGCAAGTAAATCATCGTAGGTACGTGATCCTTGTACATTGGGTATATATATATATATATATATATATATATATATATATATATATATATATATGTAAGTGTACACAGTGCAGTGCCAGGAGTTGCTGCAGGAGGAGCTTGCTGAGGAGGTCCTAAGTTAAAAGAGGAGTCATTGAGAGGGTGGTCCTGTTGGGGTGGAGGAGCTTGCTGAGAGGTCCTGTTGGGTGAGGAGCTTGTTGAGAGAGCTTGTTGAGAGAGCTTGTTGGTGAGGAGCTTGTTGAGAGGTCCTGTTGGGTGAGGAGCTTGTTGAGAGAGCTTGTTGGTGAGGAGCTTGTTGAGAGGTCCTGTTGGGTGAGGAGCTTGTTGAGAGGTCCTGTTGGGTGGGGAGGAGCCAAGTGAGAGGTCCTGCTGGGGTGAGGAGCTGCTGAGAGGCCCTGTTGGGTGAGGAGCCATTGAGAGGTCCTGTTGGTTTGAGAACGTTGGGTAGGAGTCGGGTGTCTCTTGAACCCCTGACCGTCAGAAGCTCCACTACCACTAAGGGCCCCATAGGTAGTATTCCTCTAACGCCTGCCTGTGGTGAACCCGGATCTTCGCTCTCCAAACTTCTGCCAGCCCCATCATTGGTGGATGAGTACAGTACTTAACTCAGTGGGGTTGTTGGTGTGGTGGTGTTAGTCCACCGGAATTATCGGAGTTTGTTGAAGGTGTCACTTGGTGAGAGACCCCAGGGCGGCCTCTGGAGTGTTGCCCTGGGGTATTGAGGTTAGTACTGCAGGTGCCACTGGTTTTATTGGCACTAAGTGCTGTAAGAGTTTATGTGCATTTTGGTGTGGGTACACCCAGTAGTGGTGCAAGTAAATGTGTCCTGAGGGCATGGTACCAGGAGTTGTTGTTTTGGGTGAATACAACGATTTTCTGTGTTTAATAAACATTGTATTTGTATGTGGGTCTATGATTCACCTATAGTATTCACCGTTGTTCTCTCCCTAATATATACTATATTTACATGTACCCATGGGCCTTCCTCTCACGTCACACTACCAGGTCAGAGTATCAACGTAAGTGAGTAAGAGTGCCAAGCCCTCGCATGGTGGTAGCTAGTTGTTGTTCCTACTTTGCACTGCATACAACTTGCAAGATGCAGTTTTTGGCATTATTACACCAATTTGATTGACAAATGTGAAGTGATGTCTCTCATGACGCCAGCCTAAAATAATGGCGGTATAATTACAACGCTCTTATTCCACTAATCATGATTCATTGGAGTATTGACACACTTGAACATATCAAAACTGTATTATTGCTCACATAGTCACATAAAGGGGTGGTACCACATAACAAACATTGAAAAGAATAAAGTGTCTTTACAATGTATGTACATACATCAGCGAAAAAAATGAATGATCTCACGCTATATAATCACACAATGGATATTATGGAGAATGCTTTAGGCCTACATTTTGCAATGATATTGTAGCGCACCATATGTGGCCAGTTGTCAATTATCTTAGTATGGGCACACAAACGTACGTACATGTAGATATCTCACACTCAGGAATGGAGGTAGAATAGAAACTCACGATGCGCTTTTTATATATTGTTGTATAGCGAGTGTAGGAGTGACTAGGTGGAGAAGCTTGCTCAGAGGTTCTGTAAGGCGAGAAGGTTTCTAAGAAGCTGGTGGTGAGGAGCTGTGAGAGATGTTGCTGGTCCGGTAGCCGAGTGTAGAATGGTCTCTGATGATGATGATGATGATAATGGAGATAAAATGGCAATGGGTTGCTGCGGGAAGGAGAGAAGAGGGAAGGTAGAAGGAAAGTTATGAAACGAAGTAAAGTAGTAGAGAATAAGAGCAGGTGGGCTATCCACCAGGGCAGAGACGATTTGATTGGCTGTGGTGAAGGCCGCACTAAGAGGTCGCCTGAGCTCAAGGAACAGGGGAGGAGGCTAGCTAGCCAGCAAGGGGGTGTTTGTTGTGTGTTAGTTGGAGAGGTCTACTGGGTCGTAATGTAACTAGTGAAAACTCTCATCTTTTATCTTATTGGCGTCAAGGAGTTATTTATGCTGTGGTGTATAATTGTGTAGAGTTGGAGAGTCTGCTAGGTCCTTGTGTAACTAGTAGAATACTCTCATCTTTTGTATGTACTATTTAGTGAACAATAGTTCTGGCTCTTGAGGTTATGGAGAAGGCTTTTTGTACCAGCTGTGTGATCTTCTGGTGTCCTCTGATTTTAGTCGATGGTATATTTCGTCTTCCATTACTTCTAGTTTGTACGCCATACTGCCTGTGCTTGGCTGTATGTTCTTATGTAGTGGTAAATACATATTGAAGCTCTTTAATTTGGTTGTGTATGGGGACGTTGTTTGGAGCTCTGCGGATGGCTTTGTTCTGTGTTGCCTGAAATTTTAATTGGTTGAGTAAGGCTGATCGTGTTTAATGGTGGCGGTATTCAAGATGAGGGGCAGACAAGTGCTTGAAATAGGTGTGGTTGTATTTTCTCTTCCATTTGCCGAATCTTCTTAATTTGGTAGCTGTATTGAGCTGGTCTATTGCGCTCTGTTATGTGTTTTTATTCGGTTCTTGTTGTGTCAGCCCAGTATTTTCCTTCGTTTTAGTATTGTATTTCTTCATTGTTTACTGTGATTGGTGCTGGGTTTATCCTTGAAATGTGTATGATCTTTAGTTTCTGTGTGTATTAGTTTTATTTTCCATTTCTTCTCGTAATTATTTATTGTATTATGGTGACTGTTTTAATGCCATCTGTTTGGCCTTGCCTGGATGGCGGATGATCTGGTGACATCATCAGCATATGCGATGTATGCAGTGAATTGAGTGGCGACATTGTCTGAAGTGTGGATGTATAAAGAGTTGGGGATAAATTACTTCCTTGTGGTACTCCACTATAAAGTCTGAAGCTTGGGCCTTTGTGATTGCCTATTATAATGTGAGCTTCTCTGTGTCAGGGAAATTACACAGTGAGAAGTGAAGTTTTGAGGGTTCTTGATTGGATTTTTTATATTTAAGTCCCAAGTGCAGACCTTATCGAACGCTTTTGCCACATCCCATAAAACTATGTTGCTTTTTTCTTTATAATGCATTGCGTTTGCAATACTTTCGTGTATAAGGAGCTATGGCTGTGTTTGTTCTCTGTGTTTCCTGAATCCGTGTTGTCTAGGCATGGCCGTATTATACAATTCGAGGATCAGATTTGGGGTGGCGTGGAGGAGAATCCACACAGCGTAAGGTGTGAGCGCTCTGATCCTGGGCTGGGGTTGAAGGTCGAGACTGGGTCGGCGTCGTACTCGTCCACTGCAGACCTTTGGTCTCTCCGTGGCTGGCCTATGCGCCACTCCCTCACCATGAACAGTTTGAGTTTGTTAACGTGGCGCGGGATGCGTCCGGACGCCGACCTGCAAAACTAAACCTCTGGTTCTCAGAAGTTTTTCAAGCTAATGGGATCGTGGGGGTCACCAAGGTATAGAACGTCTAAAGCTCCATGGTGACATCAGAATCACCTTCGTCAGAGGGCACATGCCGCACAGTTCGCGGAGATCCGAACATCAACGGCATTCGCTTTTAATGTTTGCCTGCATGTGGACAACCAGGCTGTTCATCTCACGCGAAGTGCCCGCATGGACCGTGAGCTGAGTGGGCTCCTCAGGGAGGCGGCTCAGAGATTGTGAAAAAGCTTTCCGACACCACTGCCTCCATCGGACACCACTCCACCTACCAAGGCTCAACTGGCGGATGCTTCCTTGATCAAGCCTACTGCAGACCGAAACGGTGTTACAAATACCAGCACTATGGACACCGCAAGCAAGTGTGAGGGCGCAGAACGCCTGTCATGTGTAGCAGCCCTGGACACCGCTACAGTCTGCCCCAACACAGAAAAAATGCGCTGCCTGTGGTGGCCCTCCTCCATAAACCGGACCTGTCCCAGATGGAAGGAGGAATGCAGAATGTAGCGGCTCGTCTTGAGGGAAAAACTGAGCACCACAAAGAGGCCCTCCTTGCTGTACGCTCCCAAGAAAGAAAAAACCAGCAGTAAAGAAAAAACCAAGAAAAGAAAACTCAGCAGAAGCCGCCCACCTTTGAAGACCAGAAGAAACACCACGTGGCCGTGGTGCAAATACATGGCCCGTGGTGCTGAAGCCACGAGTCAACCTCACCTCTCTGACTGCCCCACACGCCTGGGGACAATACACGGGGAAGACGAACAAGAACACAAACTGAGGATGGACACTTCAAGAGCAGAAGAGGAAGAGGAGGAAAGTAGACATCAAGCTAGAGGACGGTATCCCCTCACAAAAAAAAACACAATCAAGCCGACCAAGCACTGGGCTCCATTTATTGCGCACCTGACGCTTGACCTGACGCTAGCCTGGCTTTTCTTGCTCCTTCTGCTACCGCGTCAGGGAGGTTGCTGTTGCTGCCTCCATCTTATAATCTCTGCAAGCAGTGTTTTAGCCACTGCATCTGTTCTCTCCTCCTAAAGTTGGCAATCCTCCTTTTTTGTTGTCTGAACCTCCTTCCCCCTGTCACTACGCGTTTTCGTTCGTTAGGCTGTCGCGTCGGTATTTGGTCGCAGTCGGGGCAGTCATGATGGAGCGGTAGTGATCAGCCTGAGGGCAGTGTAAGTCGGAGAAGAACGGAATCAGCTGATTGGCTAGTCGTTGGATTCTCCACCTTCACATGCTTGAAAGCCGTTTTTTGACTGATTCTCAACTTGCAATTCTGTTGAGTTCGGTCAACATTGAGTCTCTCTACGGTATCGGATCTCCATTGGGACTTGAATGCTGCTGGGGAGCAATTGTGAAGAGTGGACGATGAGTTCAGACCTTTTCTTCTCTCGGTATTCTCTTACGTCTTGGCCGAAGGACTTGTTTCCCTGTCAGCGTGATGTACGGGGGTATTGTCAAACGCCTCTGTCCCCACCTCGCTTGTGCGTGTGTTTTGTGAGGTGGAGGTCATACAACTGTTCCGTCGCCTGGGGACCCCTGTGATAGTGCAGGGCCTCCCCTAAATGAGGGGCGCGGGGAAATTAGGGACTGTTAGGGGGAGATCTCCATAAATCTCAGATTCAAACAGTTAATACCTTGATTCAAGTCAAGAGTGGGCCATGCCTAACATCAACCGTGCACCAGACCTCCGCCTCCTTATTTTCCAGCTGGCCTGTATGTTTCAGATCGTTCGCCCACCAGCCCAGCGGCATTATCAAAATATTTGTACCGGAAAAGCTGGTGAAAATTACGACCTCTTCCACTCCCAGCAATGAAGCAACCGTTTGAGACGGCCAGCTGCGTTATAGTTCACCAGAATACCGCGCAAATGCACCCTCCTTAGCAAAGAAATCATCCTCAGATCGCCAGCAACCTAACCTGACAACGAACCTCAACTCACCGGCTTACCCCCAGGCCTTAACGCCTGCAGCCCGGATGAACTCTTACATGTTAAAATGTACGCTTCACTCAGGCCCCAGCGCCATCAAATTAATATCGCCACGGAATAAAAATCGGCGGCAATACTCATCCCTCAAGAGACATTGGGTTCAACACTTCGCCTAAGTACCATTCTGGGTTCACCTGAAATTCGACTGCTTACCAGCAAATTACGGTAACACAATAACTTGCTCAAAATTATGCCCAATCAAAGGCCACTCATGCAGAAACTGCACTGCCCCACAGTAACTAAATGCTGCAACTGCAAAAAGGCCCTCACGCTGCCATCAGCAACAAGTGCAAAAATCAGACTCGACAATGGCACAACACCACTCCCTACACACTAGGCCTTCCTCCCTGCAGCACCCCCCCACCCACAGCACCCACCTCACCTCCCCACCACTCTTCCTGCCCGGCCCTCCCCACCCACCTTGCTGGACCAACAACATGACCCTTCCCCACCTCTCCAAGCATGGATGCAAAAATGTCACCACCATCATGCACTTCTGGCACATACCCTAAGCAGAAACAGGTCTCTTTTTGAAACTGGCAATTGATGGTTTGAGGGAGAACAGCCTCCCTACTACCGCGCCACATTCCTAGTTCATTAGACCAGTCCGACCTCATCTTCCCCACTGCCCCATCCGACCGGACCAGCACCCCTCTGAAACCACTGCAATCCCTCCTTGCCCCTCCAGCCTGCCATGACCACACCCCAGCTTATCTCACCAACTCTGTACCTCTCACCCCAGGTAATCTGATCCAGGCATCCAACCCTCCTGTCGGCCTTGCCTGCAGCTTGCCGACTTCGATGAACTCCCGGACCACAAAATCAGACAAACCAATCTTAACACCTCGAACTCCCAAGAATAAAATGGCTGCCTATCCCCACTGGGCGATGAACAAGACCACCTGGACCTAGGGGGAAAAGAACACCTCCCCTTTTGTTTGCCACATTTCTTAAAAGAATTACTCTACATCCTTCTGGTCTATAATTAAAATTAAATCTAACTATTTTCCCAAAAGAAAACAGAAACAACACGACACGAACCTAGCACACTCCATCATCCTCCCGACTCCCCACACGGTCACGTAACCGCCCATCCCTCACCTACGCCACCTCACTCGAATACTCGCTCACGGTCTGCTCGATAAGTTGGGCCTCATCCCTGCCCAGAATTTCCAATCTCATATAAGTAACAAGATTATGCAACATGGTCACCGTTATGCAGCCAACTGTAGAGCATATATCACTCGAAACGAACACGCCATCTCTCCTCATGAACACAACGCTATCATCGCTTAACTCAACTTTTGCTGAAACACCAAAATCAAGCAGCCCCGGCTGCAAGCAGACAATCACCCCGAACTATTCGAGGGCGTTGCAATCCTCATCAGATCCTCCGCAGAACACCGTTCATCACCAACACGCCAAACACTTCGCAGCCGCCAAGATCTACATCACTTTGGACAGTTATCAAGCAATACGTAACTTCTA